AAATAATAATCTACAATGAAATACAGTACAGTAAAAGTAATGAATAATGAGGAATGGATACAGTACAGTGAAAGTAATAAATAATAAGGAATGGTTACAGTGTGACTGAGCACTTACCTTTAATGTAGTCAGCTGAATGCACATGGGGCCCCCATAATTTTCTAATTATACATGGAGACTACATTAACTGGAAACGTTTCGGTATAGAAAATGCGTGTCATTTGAAGAAAATTTTTTTAATAAAAAATCTGAGGCGGTCGTAAGTCCCGACAGTCGTAAGTCGGGGTCTGTCTGTATATTATACATATATATATATATTATACATATATATATATATTATACATATATATATATATATATATATATATATATATATATATATATATATATATATATATATATATATATATATATATATATATATATATATATATATATATATATATATATATATATATATATATATATATATATATATATACACAGTTGTACCCCACTTAACGCGACTCAATTGAACCCAGAGGGTCCATATGAACGCGCTATAAACAACAACAGAACATATGGGATTAATTCCAATAGAAACCGGCCCGACCCCCAAACTCCACTTTTTGAAGGCACATACCTATGTTGTAGTAAAAATAACATCTTAATTTTATGATGGTACATGCACACAATTAATACTTAAGAGAAATAGAGAAATACAGTCGCCAAGTTAATGTCCATTCAAATAATGGACTCAACTCCCTCCCCCTCTCACACTACACTGCCGGCTCTTCCCTCTCAGAGAAATTTTTGGGGGAAAACCACTAAATTTTAATAAATAATACCTCAAACTAAAGTTAGGATAATACAATTGACATTGCTGGATTCCTTGTAAGACCAGGAATATTTTGAATATAAATGTCATATATTTTGCACAAAAGATAACATAGTTACCTAGAGAAAATTTTTTATCTAAAATTTGTATGTTTAATGAAAAATATATGATGTTTATATTCAAAATGATCACCAAATTATAAGAATTCCAGCAATGTAAATTATATTCTGACCGGGTAATTTGTATGAATTTTATGAGCTAAAACAAATATCTTCAGTTAATAAAAAAAAAAATAATCTTCACAACACTATCTGTCAATCAAAGTACCCCACCTTGCCTCCCCCCCTCTTCCAACCGCGCGGTCAGTCCCAACCCTCCCCCCCACCCCCCACCAATCCTCCCTTCCAGGGTTTTTAACATTTAGTATTAAATAATACCTCAGATTAAAGTTAGGATAATATAATTGACATTGCTGGATTCCTTGTAAGACCAGGAATATTTTGAATATAAATGTCATATATTTTGCACAAAAGATAACATAGTTAATTTGAGAAAATTTTTTATCTAAAATTTGTATGTCTATTGCAAAATATATGATGTTTATATTCAAAATGATCATCAAATTATAAGAATTCCAGCAATGTAAATTATATTCAGACCGGGTAATTTGTATGAATTTTATGAGCTAAAACAAATATCTTCAGTTAATAAAAAAAAAAATAATTCTTCACGGGGTAACAGATGGTCGGTCGGTCCCTCCCTCCCCCCCACCCCCCACCAACCGTCCCAAGGAGATGTGTGGGATAACCACTAAATTTTAATAAATAATACCTCAAACTAAAGTTAGGATAATATAATTGACATTGCTGGATTCCTTGTAAGACCAGGAATATTTTGAATATAAATGTCATATATTTTGCACAAAAGATAACATAGTTACTCTGAGAAAATTTTTTATCTAAAATTTGTATGTCTAATGCAAAATATATGATGTTTATATTCAAAATGATCACCAAATTATAAGAATTCCAGCAATGTAAATTATATTCTGGCCGGGTAATTTGTATGAATTTTATGAGCTAAAACAGGCAGTCAGGCAGGGTGGCGGGTGGGGCAAATCTAAAATACTCGAGCCGACACTCACACATGTGGAAAAATCCGTTATGAAAGTTCAGCTCTGCAGGCACCGTATATATAAAACGTTATGAAAACCAAGAAGGGTAATATATGTATATATATATATATACATATATATATATATATATATATATATATATATATATATACATATATATATATATATATATATATATATATATATATATATATATATATATATATATATATATATATATATATATATATATATATATATATATATATATATATATATATATATATATATATATATATATATATATATATATATATATATATATATATATATATATATATATATATATATATATATATATATATATATATATATATATATATATATATATATATATATATATATATATATATATATATATATATATATATATATATATATATATATATATATATATATATATATATATATATATATATATAACCTTTTTCACTCAAATCCTAATGAAACACCACAATTAGAATACAGTGGTAGCTGTTGTATAAACAGTGGGAACACAGTCCCACCACCGAGACGAGGTAACACTCCCACCACCGATCGTCTCGTGCGAAGCAAGCGTATAAATTAAAGAAAATACTTGCAGTGTGTTTAATATGTTACAGTATATTATAAATAAATAAATAAACAAATAAATCGGTAAATCCATTTCAAGTAAATGGAAAAATTTTACTCGACACCGACATTAGTTCCAGTTACCGGTAAATAGCAGACGCTTCAGTGACGTCACTAGTGTTTACACTACACCAGCGGGTAACATTTGATGACATCACTTGAAGTGAATTGGCCTTATTTTAAAAAACCAAGGATGGTTGGTAGAGGACTACTTAGTCAGTGGGTAAGTGTTACATTTGGGGGACTGGTCTTATACAGCGAATAGCTCAAAAGCTACTTTTTAAATGGAAATTTGGGGGGGGGGCGTCTTATGCACCCCGACGCCTTATAGGCCGAGATATACTGTACAAACTTCTTGATATTTACTAAAATAGTAAGGAATTTAAGCCCTAGAACCGATTACTGTATTAGCGGACTAATATGACAGCTAGTGTGCAAGCGAAAACATGTTGAGGGGTGCTCGTAAGGAATTCGTTAATCGAGGGAATGCTCGTTAACCGAAGTTAAGAATCTTATGGAAGGTAATTCATTAACCGAGGCGCTCGTTAACCGAGGGATCACTGTATATGTAAGTTTGTATATTTTCAGCCACCGGCTGCAACTCTACTAATAAACCGCTTATTATTATTTATTATTTACATGTAAAGTGTTTGTTATTGATGTTTATATGATAGTATGCCCTTGTTTCTTTATTTATTTTATGTTCTATATGTATTGAGTAAAACAAGTGTTAATATCTGATGGCCGTGACCACCGCAGTGCCCGTATCCCCCCTATTTACATTATTTCTTATGGGAGAAATTGCTCCGCTATTTGCAGTTTCGATATTCGTAACAAGTTTCATGCCCATAACCTTTGCGATAAGTGAGGCAGCCCTGTATTTATATACACAGAATATTATAGTAATGTATCTTTACCAATTAATGAATAACAAACAATATTGTTTGATTAATGAGTGTGAGATGCAATGTGTAGGTGGGTGGGTGGGAGGAAGGCAGGAGATAGTGGATATGGTACTTCTCAGCCCTGGTTGACACTTAGCCATCTCTGCATCACTGAAATTATGATTTAGGTGGTGATAATAGAGGTAATAGTGCGACCTGTGGTGTAATGGTCAGCAAATTGGCCTCGCAAGCGAGCGGACCTGTGTTCGATCCCCGGGCAGGGTGAAACTTTGGGCAAGTTTCTTTATGCCATTTGCCTCTGTCTACCCAGCAGTAATTGGGAACCTGGATGTTAATGGATTTGCGGATCGTGTTTCAGGGCAATGGTTAGCCATGGCAGTTGGCGTGTTGTCCAGTCTTCTCGGACTATTCCTTGACACTGGGTCATGCAACTCGTTAACTTAGGGTGTGGTTGTTGTGTTGGCGACAGCTTGTACACCTTAAACAAATTCACACCTAGTTGGCCCTTGGGCCGGGCATCCTTGTTACACAAGGGGCAACCATTATTATTAGTGGTGATGAGGAAGAAGATTATGGTAAAGGACGAGGAAGTGGTGTGTCTTTCAGTTTCTTTGGTAATAATGCTCCTGCAGCTCTACCAGATGCTATTGAACAATTGATATATACCCACAAAATTGAGTGTAAGTATACATGAGCACTGTTGTATCCCTTCTACTTTACATAACATAACATTTTAAAATATGGAGCGAGAAAGCAGAAAGGTGTGGGTGATTAGAGATGGAGTGGGAAAGTGTTGCCGGGTGCTCCTCAACAGCTGATCTTTATACTTGAAGAAAGTTTCTGGGAATCCAGATCTGAAATCAGAATGGGTAGCTAAATGTTTATTAGAAAGGATATGACCATTTCAGTGAAGTAACATTCTGTATTGCACTTCTGGTCACCACCACCAGGGGGTAACACCAACCCCCCAGAGAGCACTGTTAAGGTGGTTCCATACCTAGAAATGCTCAGAATGTTCATGTGTATATGTGTGCCAAGTTTGGTGTTTGTTTCCAAAAGTGCATGATTAGTCAGCTAAGCCAATGGACTTACAACCCAATGAACTCCATACATAGAGAACAAAGCCATGTTACTAAGTAAGCACACATGATTTTTCTTGTATGAAATTCATGTAACTTAAGACAATTAGTGTCCACCTTTAAGTTTTTTATTAAATTACCTGTTTTTATTTACATATTAGTTTTAGCACTTTGCCATAATGGTCAATCTTCACTAGCATGAATTAGTGAGTAGCACCAGTTTTATTACTTAGTACCTTTTATGATAGTTCATACGTACAGTATACCTTTTGGACCAGGGTATTGAAATCAGTCTTTATTCAGCCATCCTGCTCAGGACAGTCAGTCAATCTTTACCCCTGTATTCTTACTCAAACATGTACTGTGTATACATTACTTGTAATATTTTTAAAGTATAATTGTTTTTCAAACAGATCGCATCGTTCAAAATCACGGTCAAGGTCTCGTTCACGATCGAGATCTCACTCCCGATCAAGAACACATTCAAGGTCAAGATCACGATCCCCCATGTTTAGGAAAGGAAGACGAGATGGTAAACGTCGCCATTCATCCACAGATTCTGAAGATGAAAATAAGGGTTTCATCCGATTGAACTCGAAGAGGGGACGAAGCCCAATGAATACTGGTAATCGAGGAAAAGGCAAGAAGGTTAAGGGGAAAAATAATAAGTAAGTAAATTGTAATTATGTAATTTTAAAACATCCTTTGACTTGGTGATTATATTGTCAAAAGAAGAAAATAAAAAATTGATGGTTTCAAATTGAAGGGGAACATTGATGATGTTTGGAAAGTTAGCATGTGTTGTGTAAGAGATGGGTCATTCTAATACAGTATAATGTAGTTGTTTGGTTTAGGAGTATGTCAGTGGTAAAACCGAGATTGTATCATGTATAATTAAATTATATATGTAAGTGGGATGACAAATGAGAACCATAGTATTCCTCTCTCTTACCTTTTTCCTGATCTCCCTTATGTCATTGGTATTAGTACTGTACAAAATCTCAGTCAATTTGCTTTAACTTTGAAGTATGCAAGGCAGGGCAAGGTAGTTTACTGTCTTATTTTCTTGTCACTCCACTTCACTACCATGATAACTGATGAAAACTGTAGTGTGTTACATTTGCAATGATCTTTAATGCTTGATTATAATTTTAAGGACATTATGAAGGGACAGAGGATAACTTTTTGTGGTGCTTGTATCACTTGTCATAAGTATCCTAAAGCAAAAATTATGAACAAAATATTCAAAAGTTGTTATTACTACCATGTACCAACTAATAAATGAACATGTAATTCAGGACAGAATCCCACTTCTACTCCAAACATGGCCGCATGAGTCTTGATCCAGAGTTCAGCACTTCTGAGCGGCTGCAGAAGAGAGCAGCTCGTTTCAATGCTGGTGGTGTTGGGGGTCCGAGCCCAGGGCCTCAGAGGAAAAAGAAACAACTGAATATTACAAAAACTATTAGCAATACATTTACTGTTGATGGAGATGATATTGATTGGACCTCAATGCATATTGTAGGAACTTCCACAGCTATGGAAAAACCATATCTTCGATTGACTGCGGTAAGTTGGTGGTGATGCATTGTTTGTGCATCTCCATGTTAATTCTGTCTTTCTGTCAACTTACTGTATTCCATGTTTATTGTAGTGGACTTAATGCACTAATCCAGGAGAAACTATTTCTCTTTACATTCTTTCAGTTATCTCTAGCATATTTCAGCAACTTTTAAGATTCTGTTTCGTGAAACTTGTTACAATAAAAATCTATTGGACTGCAAATTTTGGCATTGTGATTGGTTGAAGTGCTGCTGTGTCACTGGAGACGTATTTCTATTATGACATAGCTTGATGAGTCATAGGCATAGGCCAAGCACTATGTTAGAGTAGCCTCAATTAATAGTCATCTTTGTATACCCCAGCTGAAAGCAGCAATAAGTGGCCATGTTGTACCCCATCTTGGTAAGAGAGCATCAACTTTACTTGCGATCCGAAACAAAATGTGTCACGTTAAGGAGTTTGAGGGAATTCAGCTTGGATATCCTCTGCTCAACTGAAACGTTGTTGTATGAATCAGACATCAAATATTTGCTTGCGCCTCAAAAATACCTTTCATTTAGCAGCCCATATCGTACAGATTTTTATTAATTGTTTAAATATATTTATTTAACCAAACTTTTTAATAAACTATTCAGGATTATTTTGGTAACAGTTCTTACATTTTTTTCATAAAAGAATTGAGTCCCCATCGTTATATTGTCGAAATATTTTGTTTGAGGATCTTTTATTGGATTCACCTCTTCCTTACTTGAGTATATGATATATTCCACATTATCCAATTCTCTCTCAATTTGTGCAGCATTGAGGCACTTTCTTTTCAAATAAGCCAAGTGGGTGGGGGGGGGGAGAGCGTGGGTTGAGAAACTACTTCAGTTCATTATCGCGGTAGTATGTGTACTGCTGGGCACTTGGAGGATTTGCCAGTCACCATTGGCTAATAGTTTGGGTGGGAAATAAATGTACTTGGTAGATGGTGACATCTGGTGGATGTTTCAAAGGAATATAGGGACCAATTGTGTGTGAAAAATAGAAGCCAAGTGCTCAACTTTGATTGACGTGCAGAGCAATTGCCCTAGCTTACCGTCAGTTGACATCTAGAGCAATTGAAGTGTAAAGCAAGCTGAAATGAGGATGGTGATGTGGATGTGCAGTGTGATACTGGGGAATCCCTGTTCAGAGCTAAGAGGGCAACTGGGTGTTGAGAGTATTGGTGAAGTTTTGCATAGAGGTAGGCTGAGATGGTTTGAGCATGTGGAGACAATGGAAGAAACCAATAGGATCTAGAGATGCATGAATCTAAATGTGGAGAGGGGAAGAGCCAGGGGTAGGCCAAGAATGATAATGGGAGAGGTTGCAAGAAATGACATCACACTTAAGAACCTGACAAGAGAAGCTGCAAGAGACAGAATGGAGAGCTGCCATCAGGTAATCACGGCTAGCCCATGCAAGCATGGAAAATGACCATAAAACATTTATTTTGATTACAGTGTAGCATTCCGAAAGTCTGTAGGAAATAAACAACAGATGTAAATTTTATGCTGGATGGTGAACAAATGTTTTTTAAACTATACCAAGCATTGGCTACTGCTCTTTGGAATGACCACTTGTGAAAGAACAGCATCACTGTCAGATGACTATTGACTTACCGGATAACAAATGAAATTGAGGAGTATGATTTTGGGTAATTAAGTTCCTACTTTGTTTCCTTAAATGTGATGAGCATATTGAGTCAGTCAATTGATTTTCCTTGTTTTCCAGGTCTTCAAACAGTTGAAAGTTGTTCAGTCAACATATACTTAACCACTTACCAGATTGAGTTTCAGAACTGTTTAGCATGTGGTTGCTGTATGATGACTTGAATGATTTCCCACTGTTTCCAGGCTTGCCATTGGTTAAGATGTTTCTCGATATATTATCTTCTGAATTGGCTACTTAATTGATGGCAAATTGATATGGTGGGTCATCACATTGTTTAACAGAACTATTTAAAAGAGATTTCAATCTGCAATTTGCATTGCAACAACCTTAGAGTTTAGAATTTTATCAACTTTTAATTTGTTGCAGCAAATTAGATAACATTGTTAGTGATGACAGCTTGTCCAATTGTATTTAATTAATGCATTATTATTTTTTTAATACATATTTTATGTTTATTTTTTCAGGCCCCAGATCCATCTACTGTCAGAACAGTAGACACCTTGAAACGATCTCTGGAATGCATTAAACGTCAGTGGGTGCGTAACCAGGATTATCGATATGCCTGTGACCAACTCAAATCTTTACGCCAAGATCTAACTATACAGGGTGTCAGAGACGGCTTTACGGTTCAGGTGAATATTTGTGTATTAACTTGATATGGTAATTTTTTTCTTCACGTAATCGATGATTAGATAAATCTTTCCTCTCACTCTTCCTCTACCTTTCATCCAATTGTATTTGTATTATCCAAATATCACTTGCTTGCTAAATTGGGTTTGAACTTTGATTTAATAAAGTTGCAGGATCAACAAAATTGACTACTTATTGAAAATTTGGTGGCTCGGCATGATGTAAAGAATTGTGATTTTGCATCATCAGCCAGTGCAATTTTGTAGATTATGGAATAGCTTTTAATAAATGAAAAAGTCAGATTTCATGTAAAGTGAAAGCACTATATAACTGAGGTGGTGGAAAAAACAGAAGTTCTTAATTGTGTTTTAATCATAAAATTGAAAGTGTACCTGAAATCCATGTTAAAAGCCTTACTGTTTTATTCTGTACATATATCTGATGTTCTCTACTTATCTAGAACTTAAGAGCTACCCTGCTGAAGGAAGGGATGGTCAAGATTAAAAACCCTTCTCTCATGCATTTAGGTTCCTCTTTAAGTTCGTTTACTTCTCCCATTCTGGATGGAGGAGTGATATAGTCTTATATGCTGAAGACCCTTCCAAAAAATCAATTTATCAATCAACATTCTAGAAGCTAGTTGCTCTTCCACTCCTTTAACCTTTACTTATTCATTTAAATATTCTTTTTTTTTCAGTTCCATTTTCTTCCTTGTTCTTATACCATTTTAGGAATTTCTCCTAATCCTCTCTCTCAACCCATGTCTGCTACCTCTGGCCAGTAAACTCATTCCCCAATACACATTTCTTGCTCATATCCTCCCATTTGCTGAATGCCAAAACCAGCCTCAAGTAGTTATCATAAATCAGTATTAATAAGCCTTTAAAATCATGAATAAATCTGGGAGAAGCCTCTGCCAAACTCCATGCAAGCAGTCATTACTGACATCACCCCAGGCCTTCACAGTGATGTCAATTGCATTCTTTATACAGGTTGACAATCCCTTATCCGAAATCCTTGGGACCAGATGCATTTCGGTTTTTGGAATTTTTCGGTTTTCAGAATGGTTAAGTTTTTATTTTTTTATTTTTTTATACAGGGATCAGCTCACCCGGGCACAGGTCACTGACCCACATTGGGGCCTGGGGGGTGAAATATAATAATAATAATAATAATAATAATAATAATAATAATAATAATAATAATTCATAGGTCTAGGTCGTGTTTCTCACTTGATCTTTTTTCATTCTTGTATTTCTTTATTATTATTATTATTATTATTTTATTATTACAGTATTATTGTTATTATTGTTATCATTCTTATTTTATTTTTGTGTATTTTTTATTAAAATTTTTATTTACTATGAATAGTTATTATTATTACTGTATTATCATTATTATTATAATTATTATTACTATTACATTTTCACCCCCCAGGCCCCGATGTGGGTCAGTGACCTGTGCCCGGGTGGGCTGATCCCTGTATAAAAAAAAAAAAAAAAAAAAATTGCTCCACAAATTTTTTTTCGGTTTTCAGAGCTTTTCGGTTTTTGGAATTTCTGATAAAGGGTTATCAACCTGCATTAAAACTCTTCCAAAATTGAAGAACACTGGCCTTATCATCCCTCTGGCCTTATCATCCCTCTCCTCAGTAGCTGCAATCAGCTTCTTAAATGTTCTCCTTAAATAATAGGCTTTGAAAACTGCTATTACACCTTGGTTCATTGGTTGAAGGAGAGATGTTGTATTCAAAGGTAGAAAGAGCACTTTGATATTGTTAGAAAGCTCAGCAATGGTAGAGGGTGGCTTGGCGCATTATCTAAAATGAGGAGAATCTTGAAATTTATATTCTTCTTGCAATAACTTTTAAAATTATTTTCAAAAACATCCACAAGAAAATCAGAAAAAATTTGTCTTGTCATCCAACCTTTTTTGCTTGACCTAAAGTAAGCACCTAGAGAAGACTTAAGGTAACCTTTTAAAGCTCTCGGATTGGCAGAGTGATACTCCACCACAGGCCTAAGTTTTAAGTCTCCACTAGCATTGCCACCCAACAGCACTGTCATACGATCCTTTGCAGTCTTAAAGCCTGGAGCATGTGCTTCATTCTTAGAAATGTAAGTTCTTGGTGGCATTTGCTTCCAGTATAGTCCTGTTTCATCCAAATTAAAAATGGTCTAAGGTGCAGCCTTCTTCCTTGATCAATTTCTTCACTATGGGAGGAAATGTCATCGTAACTCCTTCATCGGCACTGGCTGCTTCACCACATAACTTTACATTATGAAAAGCACAGCGGTTAAAACCAGAAAACCATCCACTACTAGCAGTAAAGGCAATCACATGAGCAGGATTTTCAGCCTTTTTCTTTAGGTACTCATCAATTGATAAGGCTTTCTCTTTAATGGTGAGGAAGCTGGTCCCAGAACGCTTTTTCGTTTGATCATCTATCCAAACACTCAGAAGCCGTTCCATCTCCTCAAGTTCCTTTGGCCGTGATCTCACAGATTTGCTAGCATTAAGCTTGTTCCAGCAATACAGCTTGCTTTAATCTTTTCTGCATTGTCTCTAATGGTGCGTAACGTTGACTCCTTTATTCCCATGGCACGAACAATATCACATGTTCTTTCATTACGTTCAAAATGCTTAATAACATCGAGCTTCTCTTTAAGTGTTATAGCCTTGTTTTTTTACGTTCATCACCGGCAATTTGATCACCAGTACGCTTCTTGGAATTACCTTGTCTTTCCATATTCATGGCTAACACAACAAAATTGGAGAAAATGGCAAAAATCACAGAGGACACATCAAAGAGAATTCAACAGAACCTGCGCGTTTCAACTGATCACGTGATTTAAACAGGGAAAGTTGGTGTAAACCGTTATTAGTCCGCACTGCGAAACATTCTTTTTACTTATATATGGGTAATAGCCAAATTTGCAAAAAAAGAACAAAATTTATATAGTACCTCTCAAAAAACATTTCACAAACAAAACACATGAATCAATTAACATGTAATGTCGAATGTGAACTGTAAACATTGCATAACCCTGCGCCACGCTACACTTAAAACGTTGAGGATGGAATCATGTTATAGCCAACATTCGTATGCAAAAGTTCGTATTTTACAAACAGGTTCCCCTATTCATCAATCTCGTTATAACCAATTCGCGTTGACAAAACACGTTGTAGCAGAAATGACTGTATGTACTGTATGTTGTGTTGTCAAATTAAGAGAAACAATTGAGACCCTGCAATTGTGCGTAAATGAGGCAGAAAGTCAGATGAGCAACCTGGGACTTGGTCACAATTTTTGTGTTGCCATAATTATGGCAGTATGGTCACATTATGCGTCCAATATTTTCCCAGGCGGTAGTACCTCCCTGTTTGATAGCTGCCTATTGCCAACTACCTATAAATAATGTGTAGATTTTCACAAAATATTCATCAGTCTTTTCTGCAGAGTGTAACAGAATCAGTAGCTGTGTTTGATAAGAAATGCAAAAAGCAAGTGGTGAAAATGGCTTTTGTGTTGTGGAATGAAGTAAATGAGTGAGGGAAGGACTTAAAAAGTGGACCAGTAAAACCTGGGTAATATGTGGGATTGTGTTCCTGGGGTCTCTGTGTCAATGATTTCACATACTGTGGTTTCATACTGAATTTCATGGTAAATACTGTAGGACATAATGATTTCCCTTCATTATGTAAATTACCATATACAGTATAATTGTTTATTTGCTTGGCATAAATTTTTATAGGAATGAACTTTGAATGACAAATAAGGCACTCCCTGACGCTAGTGTTTTAGTATGGATATATTTTTTTATTAGCTAGTTCATAACATATTGAAGGGTGGTTCAAGAATATAGATAATACAGTACAGTACAGTAGTTCCCCTGTTATCTGGTGCCTATGGGGATTAAGAGGTACTGGAAAAAAGGTTTTCCAGTTAGTTGAACCTCTCTTAAGATCCCAATAAATCCTATAATGTACAGTGTTACAGGCTGACCTCATAAATTTGTGTCTCAGAAAAATGGACTTCTTTAACACTTATTCCACTATATAAACAATGTGGTTTAGAAATAAAGAAAATATAATATAAAACTATAAAATATGGTAAGAAAAGCATGAGTGTGTATGTGTGGGAAGTGAATGTGTGTGTAGGCAGTGGGCTATAACTGTGTGGCCACATTCCCTCCCATTGTGACATCATGGCATACACACAGCCAGTGTGGCAGCCACATGTCTGTGAGTCAGCTGGGCTACTGCCTGGCTGAACTGTGTCATGTCACCCAGAGGATGGTTTGAGTGTGGAAGAAGCTATTTTTTGCACATAAAATGTGCTAAAAATATGTGCTACATTATTGTATTTTATGATATGCTATTTATCAATTTTATTGTTTATCATAGCAATAAATATGGCAGCTCATCCCCATTGTGCATGGTATTCAAACATACAAGTCTAGCTGATTTTGGAAGAATTTTTATTTTTATTATCATCATTTCATTTTGGTGCCTGTTAGCTGAATCTGCCGGTTACCTGGACTTCAGATAACCAGAGTTCTACTTACTCGGTGATAGTTTTGGGAATAAACGCAATTATTTTCAAGTAGGTAGATGGCACAATAGACTCATAAAGCGGTCTGTGTCCATGTCTTGCTTTGTCTTTAAATTTTATTTACCTGTATATATGATCCTAATTACTGTATCCTGTTCACACTACCAGACAGCTTCTTGCTTCTGTAATGTTTATGTCTTTAGGGTTTGTTAGCCTTTAGGTACTTGGCTTGCAGACATTATTTCTGAGGAGTGAGTTCATTGGATTTTATAAAAAGACCTGGAAAAGGAGTATGATTCTTCTAAACCTATCCTGTGAAAGGCATCATAAACGTAAAATGGATTGAAAGTTTTTAAGATTAAAGTGCTTCAAATGAAGCATTTGATGAATTAATATTATTTTAGCCGATGGAATTGGAATTATGTTTAAAGATGAGATAGCTGAAATTACCAAAGGTAAGTGATGGGGGAACTTTAATGAGTTGGTTCAGTCATGTCAAAAGGATTTTGTGATAGAATGGCAGAAAGATTGTATATGAGGAAGGTTGAAAGATTGGAAGGTAAGTTGGGAGGAATATATGGGAGAAGGCTTGTGAAGATATGAGACTAGAGCTGTTATTCAATATGGTATCCTGATGGTGTCTCCCCTTCTTCTTGAGAGGTGTTCTCATTAAAAATTTATAAGTTTAAATACTGGCTGTATAGATTGTACTTTCATTCTGTACTTTTCTAGTTTGTTGTGTATGGATTATGACCTGCATATGTGCAGCAGGTAGTTAATGCTAGGTTTTATGGAGAATTTTCTCATTTTTACAGGTATATGAGACACATTCCCGAATTGCCCTTGAGAAAGGAGATCATGAAGAGTTCAATCAGTGTCAGAGTCAGCTAAAACAACTATATTGTGAAGTGGGGGGAGAAAACACACTTGAATTTATTGCTTATAGACTCCTCTACTACATCTTCACCAAAAATACATTAGGTGAGTTGTTTTATTCCTGATTTATGGTTTGTAGTATACTGTACTTACCACATAGCTTTAAATTTTATGATTGTTACAACCAAAAGCCAGGTTCTTCATCCTTGTTTTTTAAATAATTGTTTAATTACACTTTTAACCATGACCTTTCACTGCTTTTATAATGAAGACATAAAGCAGAATGAACTTAAACAGTAGCATTTGTAAAACACTTCAAAGAACCTATTTAAAGCACATGGCACCAATCAATTTATGTTTCAGACATTACCTCCCTCTTGGCTGGACTTACGATGGAGCAGAAGCAGGATGAGTGCATTGGTTTTTCTCTAAAGCTACGTGCAGCCTGGTCATTGGGAAATTACCATCGCTTCTTTCGGCTGTACCGCACTGCTCCTAAGATGGCTGGATATCTTGTTGATTGGTTTGCAGACAGAGAAAGAAAGCAGGCATTAAGGGCAATGCTTAAAGGGTTTGTATATCACAATAAAGTACTTTTAAATATGGGAATTAACTACTCTTTTACTCTATTAACAAACAGAATTTTTATCGTCTATACAGTATACAGTAAATAAAACTTTCAGGGTTTTCCTTTCATTAGAACTTAGGAAGTCATAAATCACCAGTTCTCAAACTTTAATAGTGATAATGTAAAGTAAATTATTTGTCTTATATTTAACATGAAAAGAAGTTTCATGGAAAATTTGATTGTTATTTTTGTTCTCTTTGGTTCTGATGGTTGTTTTAATTAATTACATTATCACTGCAGTTAAATAATTTGTTCTGGTTTACTTACTTAAATCCTAATACAGTACAGTACTTGTACAGTACTGTATTATCTTTTGAAAATTAATATTTACCCATTTCTTCTTTCCCTGATACAGTATCTCTTATCTTAACCTACTTATACAGGTAGTAGCTCTTTGATGCAATGGCTAAGGCATGTCTCTTTGTTGACAAAATCTTAGCATTGGTGCAAGGTAACAACTAATAATTATAATTGTTAGCCAAAACAACATTAATTTTTCTTCTTTGAATATTTAATTTTACTGATGTCTTAACATTTAATGTGTGAAGATGTTGGTCGCCAAAATATTGAAGGAAGATATGCTTGTTGTTCTTTAGGTAGGAAGACATGACATGATAGTGTGTATGTAAATTGATTGTTCATATTTAATTATATTATCAGGTTTGTATATTCTATTCTCATTTAGCTGACAATTACTAAATACATATTGCTTTGAATTTTCTCATTTTAACACTTCAAATTAAAGTAAATAACTGATACAGTATAATTTTGTTTTTACTTTGTGATTGATTCTGGACTTAGCATGATGTCAGTGGTTCATCAGTTAATAAGTAGGCTGTATATTTCTGTGTATATGTAATTGATAAATTAACTGTAACACCATTCTTTGTTGGTTGTTAAAGTTTTGCCTTTCAGAAGATACCATTTATGTTGGTAATATCAAAAGTGAGTATTTTAGCAGTTATCATTTCAGAATCTTGTGAGTGCAGATAGTGAAAGCTGTTCTGCTAAAAATCTGCATAAACTGCAAGAAAAGGAAGTGATGGTGCAGCTTCTTAATCCCCTCTTCTTGTTTCCTTGTAGCTATCGGCCGGGTAGTCTAGAGGTCAGTTTTATTAGGTCGGAGTTGGCTCTCGGAACTCAAGAGGAATGGCAGAAATTTGAGAGCGGCATAAGCTTGGTCTATACTGATGTGTCAAAGACGAAAATAGACTGTAAAAAATCTTCTGCGGATGTCTTGGCAATGTAGTTTGTTACTTTCATGAAAATGGACAATGAAATCAAAGTTTTCATGACGAACCCTATGGAAGTGCATAAAAACTTTTAATACACGATAAAGATTTGATCTTTCATAAATTGGCATTGAGAGGGTTGTTTGGGTGGGTGTGTGATGGTTGTCTTATTAAATAGACGTAGTGACCACAAGATGAAATTTTGGACACAATTTCTCCCCCCAAAATTTTGAAAATGTTTTTAACCTTGTTGACAGTCTGGGTACACAAACATTGGAAGCAAATGTTTACTGTTGAACTAATATTCACATTATGAAAGGAGAGAAGACACTGTGGACCAAGTGTAACTGAACTTTTGTAGTTTGTAAGGAAACTGAAAAGTACAAATGAAATTAATTGAATGAAAAAGTTATAACATTTGAAATGTAACTGGTAAATTGTTAGTCAGTTGATGAACATGAAATATAGGAAAGAAATTTGGGGACATCAGTGGACATCAAAAAGTTGTGCTGTGAAATTTATGAAGAGAAAATTATTTGAGACAAGTTATCCTGTTGCTTGGACTGTACTGGAGAGTGCTCCACCCATTATTTTATAAAAATCTTCATTATTTTCAATTTTGATAAACCACTCCCATAAACCCTTCCTCCTCCCAGTGACATGATAATTACAATTTTGATTTTGTTTTTATCCTCTTCTGTAACAATTATTTAATGAATGAGGGAAGAGTCAGTCCTGCTCCTTTCAGCATTCATTGTTAATAAACAAGCATGTCATCATTATCATCATCATCATCATTACCATCGATTTCAAAATCGGCAAAATCTATGGAGGATAAACTACGACCGGATATTTGGAGTAGGACATTGAAGGCATCAAATTTTCACCTACAATATCCTTACATTTAAGCTGTTATGTCCAAGTTACCACAGGACCATTGGGAGACTGGCAGGGTACAGGACAGTGCTGGATCTTCACGACTACTCAGGATCTTCACACTAACATGGCTCTTCACGACAACACAGGATCGTCACGACAACGTGGGAATGTTTAAGGGATAGCTATAAAGGTTCCTTACAATGTACCTTATCCTATACCATTTTCAGGTACTTATGGAATGAAGCACGGAAAAGGGGATGCAGCAAGTTGCAGAAATATACCATTTTCAGGTACTTATGGAATGAAGCACGGAAAAGGGGATGCAGCAAGTTGCAGAAAAGTAAGAGTGCAATTTTCTTTATCAACAGTAAGAAGATTCATTTACACCAGTTTCATTTGCTTGGGAGTTTACTGTCCCAAATTCGCAAATCTTTCTCATCAATCCCCTTTTCACCTTTATGATCTTCCCTTGTGATGGTGATGCCATTCCTTTACAGTTCCAAGTGGCAGGATTCAAGTGCAAGTAATGAGACTTTGAAAAAAGTACCCTTGAACTTACACTCAAACTGTGAAAGATTGCAAGTAGACTGGAATTTGGAACAAGTTATGCAGGACATTTTCTTTAGACTGAAGCAGTGCAGTGGACAGTGTGAATTTTTGACTTTTGCATTGGTCTTTGGGTTGTTAAGTCTTATGTTCAGCAGCCTTTGTATGAAATTTCCTTGGTAATAATTCCATCTCCACAGAGTTACTAGGTTTTGAGTTTCAAAAATACCCCAAGAAGAAAGATCTTCAAGACCAATTGGTTGAGCTTGTCACTGAAGTCTCCAGCATTTTTCATCTGAGTATGATTTTCATGCTGTCATTAGGTTGATGGGGATAACAACATTAGTGGTTGATTGCACCAGTGCTTCAGTTGCAAGTTATCCTAGTGACAGCAGCAGCAGTAGCAGCTCATAATCCTTCTGCACCCTCAGCTCCTGTTGGGTATCAGGTTATGGAACAATAGCTTGTTCCATGTTCATCCAGAATTGTTCCAGTGTCCAGCAGTATTTCAGCAGCAGCAGCAGTTCCAGTCTCCTCCCATATCTGAAGCAGTGTTCCAGCCTTCAAGAAGACCAACAGTTCCAGATTGCAGCAGGCAAGCAGAGTTCCAGTCGATGAGAAGCCAATCCTGAGGAAATCAGGAATGTTCCAGCATCATCGTTCTGCAGTGTTCCAGTCTTTTTTCTTTTTCTTTCCTTCTTTTTCTTCTTTTTTAACACCATAATTTTTATTAAAATCTCAATCTGCTCTTAACAATGAATTATGAAAAGTACCTCTCTCTCTCTCTCTCTCTCTCTCTCTCTCTCTCTCTCTCTCTCTCTCTCTCTCTCTCTCTCTCCTTCCTTCCTTCCTTCCTTTATTTATTTATTTATTTTTTTATGCAGCAGGACAGCACAAAAACAATAAAATTACAGTGTGTCCCTCCATAATCATACAGAAATAGACAGTTTCCAAATTAGAATATCTTCTATCAAAAATAGGAGTCCCACGAGCTCATCTTTCGTCTTGTGTACTAATCTACACCTATTTTCCATTTTTGCCAGTAAATCATTAAAGATCAAATGATATCATACATAACCATGTGCAGCTTAGTCCTTGTTGTTGGAGTATACCTATGAGGTACTTCAAACTTTAATAAAAATTTATCTTCTGTTATACAGTTTTTGAGTCAGTTCCTAATCAGATACACAAATCTTGTATTATGAATACTCCAAAGTAATTAATGTGTTAATAGGTGTTTTTACCAAGTGAAGTAAGAGTCATAGTCACCTTTGTACTGATTTTTCATTATCACTTTTTTATTAGGAAATTTATTTTAGCCTAGCAACTGCTTATCCAGTCACCCCCAATTGACTGGCTGAATCCGAGCAGGGTATAGAATGTCTTATGGTTGATAAAGATCCAATCGCTATTATTCTAATATTTACATTTTGGGTATTAATGTAATAATTACATGTTTATATTTGATACTTTTTAGTCTTCTGAATATTATTTTCTTTGTTAAATCCTTTCATAAAGTATTTCATCATGTTGGGATCAGTCCACAAGATGTGACTGTTGACATTGTTTAATTTAAGTTTTTGTAAATACTGTTGATTTACTTTGGTAAATAAATTATGAAACTTAATTTGTATTTTTCTAACTGTAGGGGGCTTTTTATGAACTAGAAGTTTGTCATGATAATGTGAGGTATATTCAAGCTAGGTTTCCTTAATGCACTATTGAACTATGGGGTTAACCCAGTGTACACAAATGTGTTTGGAGCCATATCATAATATCTCCATTATGATCAAAATATTTATGAACCATCTGGGTTTTGAAAACAGTATGGTGAGGATGTGGTTATACTACAGGTTGACACTCTTATCCGCCAACCTTGGGACCAGGGCCATGCTGAATAATAGATGTTCCCTTTAAATAAAAGGTTGATAAATAATTAATGGTACAGTCGGCAAAAAAATGTTCTGCACCTCTTGGTCCGAAGAGCCTTGCAATGATCACTGACTGAGGCCATGTTAATTTGGTAGGGTTGTTATTTTTGGTTGTGTGATGCATTGTATAACCAGTATGATGTATTTTTATATCACGTAGTTAATACAGAGAAATTAACAGGAATCACCCTCGTAAATGAGTGTTGTTCAGAATTCTTGGTCCGGCGTGTCATATTGTATAACACCATAAAGGTGTAGAAATTTTTGTTGTTGACTGTACATTAGCTTAAGTTATATTTAGCCTAATGCCTGTAAGCTGTGGATTTTTTTTTTTATACAAATTTGACAAACCATAGTGAATAGATTTACTAAATAAACAAGTACTGTGACAATAATATATAATAAATGAAAACTGTATAATTCAGGCACCCTAGGCAACACTCAGTCATACAGTAGTTGGACACTTGTAATCATAGTAATCATGATCCGATGACTTCAAACAATTTTATGTTATTCTCACAGCCATGACTCCCAAAAGAATTTTTTTTTTGTACAGAAACACTTGGTCGATAGAAATTACCCAGTAGAGTATAGGTATCCCTTGTTTAACCCTTTGGCCGTGGGATGTTACCCTAAGCTGAATAAAATCGTCTGGGGGTAGCTACAATAAAGTAGCAATTGCGGAAATTGTAGCAAAACTGTTAATGATGGGGTTTGCTTTTCTGAAAAACTAACTAAGGGAAATTATCACCAAATGAGAAATACCAGCAAAACACGGTGGACTTACTCAATAATAATAATAATAAAAAACGAGTATGCTATAAATGGTTTTGCAGATAACGATTGATTTATTAATGCCAAACTTCGAGATGAACAATGTTGGTCAGAATTAAACGATTTAGTGAGTGTAAGGCGAGTCTAATTCTAACAAATTTCATATTGCATATGAGGAGCTTGGCATTAGAAGGGGGTGAAGCGCCAAATTTAAAAACCGTTTAAAGTTTTTTGAAGTTCAATTAACCATAACTTTGTTGTTTTTTAAGCTAGAGGGTTCTTTTATTTTATCATGCAGCTCAACCCCTCTCCTAGCAAAGTGTGAAAACTGGAAGTTAGTACTGTACTGTGAATAGTTATTATTTTATCGCTAGTTGAATGAGAATAACTATCCATCATGTATGGTTGTTTGATCTTCAAACCAACAATAATTGCATTTTTCTGCAAAATTTTTCTTATTATTGTGGGCTAATACTGTAAAACAAGTTAATGATCAAAAACAACACTCGTCTTACACCCACCCCCCCATAAACCCCTCCAAAAATGAAATAATAGAATCTTAGTTGCCAATCAGTATTTATCTTTCCATCCATATTATTAGCCAAAGATTTATAATATTGTTAAGTTTAATAATGTGTAATAATATGGAAACACCACTACACTCATCCCCCCCCCCCTACCATTCACCTTTCCCCTCCCCCAATGTAATTAACATACGAATACAAAGGTGGAGAAAGTTCGCATAATCTTTGGTAAAAACAGTGTTATGATAATAGTATTACAATCTTACTTTGTTTAGTTCCTTCGTTTTATTATCCCTGAAGAGCGTAGTAAGTTGAAGTTAAGTAAATCCTGAGTAGTGCGTATAACTTTAATAGCCTCGTCATAATCAAATTACGTTTACGCTTGGCAACCTCCTGTGCCCACTCGTCAACCCTACGCTGTCTCATCCTGCCTCTTTTTTCTATAGGGCCTTGGGGGTATGCTCCTGACCTCTGCAAACTGCATCACGTGGTGCCACCACCAACAACACTAGGCTCCCCAACATACCAAGTAGCTCATCACCAATGTTCTCACACACATCACCTGCACCATCGCCAGTAGCACTTGCATCACCATAATCGCCACTAAATTCACCACCAAAATCACTATCACCAAGCATGGCCGGGGTGTCCACGTTAGTACTGTCGTCACTAAACACACGCTCAGGATTTAGGGCTCCTGAACCCACACCAGAAGGCCTGGCCTCACTCAAGTATTGTTCTAAAATAAGTCAGACATTACACAGCACTTATCACACCCGTGGAACACACAACGTCGATGTTACTCGGAAAAGTTATCAAAAATCGCAGTAGAAAGTACAGTACATTGAACCGCCTTATGCTATACAACACGCCAAAGCTGACAAGGAGGCAGCTTCTGGGTGCACGAGTGGCCGAGGAGCTGTGACGTAGCAAGGGAAATCCATTGTGATTGGCCGACTCGGGTTATGGTCTGTGGGAGGCGCACTGTCATTGGCTCGTGCTCCTCTCACTTTGAACGGGATGTAGCCACCTTCATTTACTGAGCGCACAGCCAGATACGTAGCTCCCGGCCTGAGGCTAAATGACACCTTATTTTTGAAGGACTCAACCATATTTCTATTCTAGCTAGGGGTTTACATACACCAACGCATTTTGCCCAGGGTGGCACTTCACCACCTTCTTATGCTGAGCGCCTCATATGTCAAAAATGAACAAAAATTATGATAAACAATAAAATTGATTCATAGCATATTATAAAATACAATAGCACATATTTTATGTTAAAAAAATAACTTCTGCGCTCAAACCATCCTTTGGGCAACGTGACATAGTTTAGCCGGACAGTCATCCAGCTGACTCAGAGATGTACGTATGTTATGTTATGGCGGCGTAGTTACACCCAACTACCTTCATGAGTCCACACATACAACCATGCTCTTCATTTACCTTATTTTATAGTTTATATTATGTTTTCTCTATTTTGAAACCACAGAGTAATGGAATGTTTTTTTCACAACATATATAGTTTCATTACATGTAATACTGGCAACATGGCATCTCACAAGTGACCTCATCCCCAGTTGTTTTCCCCTTTCCAGTTAGTCAGGCCATCACTAAACCTAATTTTTACCTAACATTAACACACTCACCTTATTTATAACAAGTATCCCTCCGATGCACTGGCAAGTTATGACCTTGCATGGAAGAGCCATTCTGTGTATTTTTGCTTTGGATAGATTTTATACCAACCAGTTAATTTATTTTTATAAAACAAATTTTTATATTTTATTTTTTTACGGGGATTAGCCTGTAGTGGATTTCTCCCCTACAAACGCTGTTTGTCGCTGAGTAGCCGACCCCACCAATTCCCCAGTGTATGCCTCTTGGTCTAGGTCAACCAGCGCCGCCATACATCACGGAGCGGGGATCAACTACTAAGCCACGCCTACCCCCGCTATTTAAGACCTGACCTCGTGGTGACCTGTCTCTTTCTACCTACACCAACCAGCCAGCAACACCTCCTTCTCCTCCGCCTGCCTGACAGTCCTCGCTCCCGCCGGCGAGCATGGCGACCTACAAGCTGGTCCTCCTCTGAGCATCCTCACCAACCAGCTCTCTCTACATCACGCTTGTAACCATGCTGCCTTCCCAGCACCAAGCTGCATTGTACATCCAATACAACATGTATACATGAGAGCACACTGTGAGTTTCCTTTCTCCATTCCATCCTGAGTGTGAACCAAACATCCTGAACCCCACAAATGGTGACTCCCGGAGATTCGCACTCACACAGGATGGAGGAGAAACTGATCACGCTCCCAGTCTTCGAGCAACATGGAAGACTGGCTTATCCACACAGAAGCAGCTCTCATCGACTCTACAACTACTGTCTCTACACAGCAGGTTAGACACCCTAGAGCAGCACTGCTTCTCTAAGCAGACACCAGCTCCTCTTCCTGCCCCAAGCACCACGTCCTACCGACCCCAGCACACCCGTCCTGCCTCAGACGCCGCCCCCGGCCCAGCAGTAACCCCTGCCACCCCTGATGCGGCCTCTGCTCCTGACGCAGACCAACACACCCGTCCTGCCTCAGACGCCGACCCTGGCCCAGCAGTACCCCCTGCCGCTTCTCCTGACGCGGCCCTGTTCCTGAGTGCGGACCCACACACACCTCTTTTCTCCCTCAGGTACTCCCTGCTTATGTCCTGCACCCTGCTGCTGTCGTGGACCCAGCTGCTGTCACGAGCCCTCATCCGCTTCTGCTGACGCAGCCCCTGACCCAGGCCCACACACCCTAGCAGGCGCATCTGATGACTCTGTACCTGCCGTGAGGGAAGAACAAAATTCATCGCCTCCACACACCCTTTTTCTCCCTCTTTACTCCCACAGATATTGTGTATCTAGACAGTTGTGTCCAGCGACCGGCTCATCCACGCCATCGCCGTTGTCTCACATGAGGCATGCACCGCCCGTTCTGCCTCACATTTGCTATGCAACCCTGCAGACAAGTCTCCTACACCGCCTGGAGGGTAGGGGGAGTATTGTAGTGGATTTCTCCCCTACAAACGCTGTTTGTCGCTGAGTAGCCGACCCCACCAATTCCCGAGTGTATGCCTCGTGGTCTAGGTCAACCAGCGCCGCCATACATCACGGAGCGGGGGTCAACTACTAAGCCACGCCTACCCCCCACTATTTAAGACCTGACCTCGTGGTGACCTGTCTCTTTCTACCTACACCAACCAGCCAGCAACACCTCCTCCTCCTCCGCCTGCCTGGCGGTTCTCGTTCCCGCCGGCGAGCATGGCGACCCACAAGCTGGTCCTCTGAGCATCCTCACCAACCAGCTCTCTCTACATCACGCTTGTAACCATGCTGCCTTCCCAGCACCAAGCTGCAT